GAGATGGAAACCAGCACGCAGGCAGCACTGACTGTAAACCTGGCACCGAGCCACGCTCACACAGCATGCAGGGCATCACCGTCCAGGCCCCACCGGGTCCCAGCAGCACCAGCTGTCCCAGAGAGGACGCAGCTCAAGCTGGCGTGGCCTAGACCTGCCCGCAGCACCACCATCCCTGCAGCACGCTGGCTCCAGCCCAGCTGCTCTGCCCACTGGGCTCTCCCCGAGGCCATGGCTCACGGGGCCCCTCAGATGTGCTGTGCTGCCTGGGGCGGTGTGCATGAGGGAGAGCCCGTGATGCTGGTGACAGACGGAGCGGGGCCTGGAACCCTGACTTGAGGCCTGGGCGACTCCCTGGATGCTGGGAACCCCAGGGAGCCCATCTTACGGCAGGGACGGTAATTCTGGCCTCGGAAGGGGGCTGAGGGGAGTCACCCGGGGAGTGAGCATAAAGGCATGGCACACAGGCAGACCTCACCCGGATGCTCTCACACGTGCACACAGCGGGTGCTCACACGTGCTGACTCGGCCTCTCCCGCCCTCTGGGGACACCTGCCTGACCAGACCCCTCGGCCGTGGCTTCTCTGTGTCTGCCCAGCTGGCCTGGTGCCACCCAGCCCAAGGCCTTGGAAGGCAGACATCGCTCGGGGAATCTGATGTTTGGACAATGGCAGCAACCTTTATGCCCTGTATTGTCGCTGTTGTCTGAGTAGCAAGCGCACGTGTCCTCCCCAGGGCCCTCCCGCTCCCTGTGGGGGGCACCTGCAGGGCTGTTATGGGGAGGAGAGACAAAAGCATGTAGATGTATGCACTCAGGGGGCCGAGAGGCCTCACTGCACCCCTACACTGTGTGCCCATCCTGGACGAAACACCATCCTGGGGAAGACACAGGGGCGAGACAGACCCAGGGACCAGATTCTGGTGGCATCGTTTGGTCGTGCTGCGGGTTCCCTTCAGGGCAGGCTGAGGGTGACATGGGACAAAACCCACAGAGCTGGCATTGGGAGGACTGCCATGCTCCTCCCCAGTGACACTCCTGTGGGGGAGGGCAGGGAACGCTGCAGGGGAGTGGTGCTTAGGGACCACTTGAGGTGGCCCCTGTAAGTGTGAGGTAAGCAGGGCAGAGAGACGGTGAGACAGGTGGGACCTGGGACCCTTTGCCGCAGTGCTTGCACCTGGGCAAACATCTTCTTGAGCAACAAAGTACAGAGAATCTATAAGGGACTAAAAACAACTGGTGTATATGCGCAGTTGGGGCAAATTATGGACAAGAAGATACAGAAAGACCAAAAACCCAACTGCCACTTCTGAGGAGCCTGGAGCAAAAGCATGTACTGCGCATGCCCCCTGCACTCAGCACCACCAAAGGGGTGGGCAGAGCACCTAAGCCACCCCTCCCCCCGACACACCCCCATCCTCACCCCATATAAGGAACCAGCTCCCTTCCCCCGCCTTAGGGAGCGAATTGTTAGTTGTTTTCGCCCTCCCCCCACCCAGCTGCAGCAGGAGCCCCCATAAAGCCTCGCCTGAATTTCTTGTCTGGCCTCTAGTCAATTTCTATTGATAGAGGAGGTCAAGAATCCTGGTTGGTCACAAGGAAAGGAGGGGAGGGAGGGGGCATCCAGAGGGACTTCCTGGAGGAGGTGAGATCTCAGCCAGGCCTTAGGAAAGGAGGGGCTTGGCTTTGATCCAGCCGATAAGGTGGAGTTGCAGTGGCTGGTGTGGACTGGACGCCCAGGGCGGAGGACTGGGGGACAGGAGGTGGCTGAGGGGTGCAGGGGCCCCCCCAAGTCTTGCAGCCCTGCCTGGCCCCACGGGACTGCCTGCAACCCAGCAGGTCTCCTGCAGGTCTCTGTCTGCTCCCTGCCACCAGGGAGTGAAAAAGGGCTTGAGGAGAATAAATCTGCAGGAGCCGCCTGCCGGCCGCTCGCTGTGGCTTCCGGCCCTGCTGCCTGGCCTGGATCCCTGGGGGTCTCTGGGATGAGCTCCAGGACCGGCAGGTGGAGCAGCACTCACTGGGGAGGCGGCTGCATCTGACCCCAGGGGCTGGCTCGTGGTTAGGGTGCAGTTGCCCCTGTAAAAGCAGCTGTGAGGATGGCTGGGGGTGGGCGGGGGACTTGGTACCTCATGGGCACCAGGCACCTCTTCTCCCCAGAACGCCCGACTGGCCGCGCCCCCAAACGTGCCCAGCCTGCAGGCCCCGGCTCAGTTACTGACAACTCTGTTCTCCAACTACTCAGGCCTGAGGCCCCAGTGTTGTCCTCAATGCCCTTCTTCCTCCCTGATTCAACATCCCATCTAGGAACAAATCTTGTGGCTCTTCCTTCAAAATCCATCTGAAACATGACCGCTCCTCCCACCTCTGCCAGCTGGACGGCCTGCTTCCACCTTGCCCCTAAAGCTGTTCTCCGACCAGCAGCCAGAATGGAATTCCTTTTAAGAATAAGTCAGGTCTTGTATGCAGAAAATTATAAGACATTGCTGAAAGAAATTAAAGATGATACAAATAGATGGAGAGATATAACATGTTCTTGGATTGGAAGAATGAACATTGTGAAAATGCCTCTACTACCCAAAGCAATCTATAGATTCAATGCAATCCCTATCAAACTACCACTGGCATTTTTCACAGAACTAGAACAAAAAATTTCACAATTTGTATGGAAACACAAAAGACCCCGAATAGCCAAAGCAATCTTGAGAACGAAAAACAGAGCTGGAGGAATCAGGCTCCCTGACTTCAGACTATACTACAAAGCTACAGTAATCAAGACAGTATGGTACTGGCACAAAAACAGAAAGATAGATCAATGGAAAAGGATAGAGAGCCCAGAGATAAACCCACGCACATATGGTCACCTTATCTTTGATAAAGGAGGCAGGAATGTACAGTGGAGAAAGGACAGCCTCTTCAATAAGTGGTGCTGGGAAAACTGGACAGGTACATGTAAAAGTATGAGATTAGATCACTCCCTAACACCATACACAAAAATAAGCTCAAAATGGATTAAAGACCTAAATGTAAGGCCAGAAACTATCAAACTCTTAGAGGAAAACATAGGCAGAACACTCTATGACATAAATCACAGCAAGATCCTTTTGGACCCACCTCCGAGAGAAATGGAAATAAAAACAAAAATAAACAAATGGGACCTAATGAAACTTCAAAGCTTTTGCACAGCAAAGGAAACCATAAACAAGACCAAAAGACAACCCTCAGAATGGGAGAAAATATTTGCAAATGAAGCAACTGACAAAGAATTAATTTCCAAAATTTACAGCTCATGCAGCTCAATAACAAAAAAACAAACAACCCAATCCAAAAATGGGCAGAAGACCTAAATAGACATTTCTCCAAAGAAGATATACAGACTGCCAACAAACACATGAAAGAATGCTCAACATCATTAATCATTAGGGAAATGCAAATCAAAACTACAATGAGATATCATCTCACACCAGTCAGAATGGCCATCACCAAAAAATCTAGAAACAATAAATGCTGGAGAGGGTGTGGAGAAAAGGGAACCCTCTTGCACTGCTGGTGGGAATGTGAATTGGTTCAGCCACTATGGAGAACAGTACGGAGGTTCCTTAAAAAACTACAAATAGAACTACCATATGACCCAGCAATCCCACTACTGGGCATATACCCTGAGAAAACCAAAATTCAAAAAGAGTCATGTACCAAGATGTTCACTGCAGCTCTATTTACAATAGCCCGGAGATGGAAACAACCTAAGTGCCCATCATCGGATGAATGGATAAAGAAGATGTGGCACATATATACAATGGGATATTACTCAGCCATAAAAAGAAACGAAATTGAGCTATTTGTAATGAGGTGGATAGACCTAGAGTCTGTCATACAGAGTGAAGTAAGTCAGAAAGAAAAAGACAAATACCGTATGCTAACACATATATATGGAATTTAAGAAAAAAAAATGTCATGAAGAACCTAGGGGTAAGACAGGAATAAAGACACAGACCTACTGGAGAACGGACTTGAGGATATGGGGAGGGGGAAGGGTGAGCTGTGACAGGGCGAGAGAGAGGCATGGACATATGTACACTAACAAACGTAAGGTAGATAGCTAGTGGGAAGCAGCCGCATGGCACAGGGAGATCGGCTCGGTGCTTTGTGACCGCCTGGAGGGGTGGGATAGGGAGGGTGGGAGGGAGGGAGACGCAAGAGAGAAGAGATCTGGGAACATATGTATATGTATAACTGATTCACTTTGTTATAAAGCAGAAACTAGCACACCATTGTAAAGCAATTATACCCCAATAAAGATGTTAAAAAAAAAAAAAAAAAGAATAAGTCAGGTCTCATTCCTCCTCTGTCCGACCCCCTCCACGGGCCCCACCTCACTCTGCGTGAAAGCCAGTTTCACCAAGCCTTGACCGACCAGCACAGCCAGCCCCTGAACTCTGGCCCTACCCTACTGCCCCTTCACTCACGGGGTACCAGGTACACTGGCCTCCCGGGCTTTTCTTGATCCCAGCAGGCCCACTGCGGCCTCAGGCCCTTTGCGCTTGCTGTCTCTCCTGCCTGTATCACTCTTTGGCTTATTTCTGCACGGCTCATCCCTTTCAATTCTTTGCTTGAATATCATCTTCTCAGTGAGGATTTCTTGATTTCCTCTTTCAAGATGGCACCCTCATCCACCCAGTGCTCCTAACCCCATTCCTGAATTGTTCGTCTCTCCCCACTAAGCTGTAAGTAAGTTCCATGAAGGCAGAGATGAGTCCCTTTTGTTCCCTGGAGTGACTGCAGTTCCTACAACACTTCCTGGCCCGTGATGACTCACTAAGTTTTTGTGCATGTTGTTCAGACGCAGTCCCCCAAGGACAGCAGTCATGGCAGGGATTGGGGTAAACCCCAGATTCCTCCACTGGGCTCCCCCCACCACAAAAGGAGCAACAAGCACCTTCCTCGGCCTCCGGGGGGCCGTGAGCCCCTGTCCTGCTCGCCACACCCACCCTGGCCCAGCACTCACCATCCACTGGATTGAGGTAGTCATGGAGATGGGGTGCACTGGCCGCACCCCCGCTCTGCATCAGCAGGTCCCCATATGGCGTGGGGTGGCCTGCCATGAGGGGCATCTGGTGGTAATAGTCTGAGGGGTTGGTGCTTGAAGGGGGGAGGCCAAGCAGCCCCCTCTCCTTCAGGTGTTCGTGGGCAACTGCGGGCAGGAGGGAGGGAGAGGAAGAAACTGTCAGAACCCGGCCAGAAAGAAGAGAAACATGCACCTGGCCCGAGGAGGCCCCTCCGGGCCCTGCAGCCCTCCCCTGCCCTCTGGGTCCCTGGGTCCCCCTCCCCCGCCGTCCCTGGTCAGGCTGGGGCGGGGCTGTTTCTGCTGATGGGGCAGCCAGATCCCAGCCTGCACATTCCTCCACTTGCTCAAAGCCGTAAACAACTGCTTCCTTCTCCCAGCCCCACAGATGCCCAGAGCTCCAGGGTCCGTGGTCCGGCACAGTCTCCAAAGGAAAAAGAAGATGAAGTCGGAGGTGCCAGGGTGGCCAGACAGCTGGGCGCCAGGTCAGACTCACCCAGCACTCGAAGTGGGATGGCAGGCGAGCGCTCGCCCGCCCTGGCCACCTGTCAGAACCTGGGCGGGCGGTCCACCCCCAGTCCCGCACTCAGCCCTGCCGGGGCTTAGCAAAGAGGCCGGGAGGATGAACTTCAGAGTACCTTGAGGGGGCCTGGCACTCAGGGGTGTGGTGTTAGTTAAAGGGGGGCTTGGAAGCCAAACATACCCCTCAGGGGTCCTGGCTTTTACCAGGTGTGCAAAATTAAGAAGGTGCCACCTCTCTGAGCTGGCTCAGTTTTCCATCTGTAAAATGGGGGTAATAATACCCACCAGTCAAATTACTATTAAAAATGACAGGGCTTCCCTGGTGGCACAGTGGTTGAGCGTCCGCCTGCCAATGCACGGGACGCGGGTTCGTGCCCCGGTCCGGGAAGATCCACATGCCGCGGAGCGGCTGGGCCCATGAGCCATGGCCGCTGAGCCTGCGTGTCCGGAGCCTGTGCTCCGCAACGGGAGATGCCACAGCAGTGAGAGGCCCGCGTACCGCAAAACAAAAAAGGTATCATCAGCCAACGTTGTGCTGGGCGTTCCATTGGGTGGGTGCAGTCACAGGGCTGAGGGGATAACATCCACTCTCTGGTTTCACTAGCATCACACCATGAGCTGATCCCCTCAGCAGATGAGGACTCTGGCACTTAAAGAGATAAAGATGCTGCCCAAGGCCACACAGCAGGGAGTTTGAATCCAGAGCCCGGGAATTGGCCTCCTTGCTATTAGTCTTGGCAGGTGTCAAAGGAGATGCACACAGTCCGGGCAGAAGGAAGCAGCTGGTCCGTGGAAGCCATCACCCTCCCCTTCCTCCTCTCCCTCTCCCGCTCTATCCTCTAGGGACAGCCCTAGCCTGCAGCCCCTCGGCCTCTGCCTGGCCTGCCTGTGCCTGAAATGCCCTCCCCTCCCCCTTCTTGCTTGTGCCTCTTCGCTGAAGCCTTCCTTGAGGGCCCATTGTTCACACACACACACACACACACACACACACACACACACACACACACACACACAGAGTCTGGTCTGGCGGACCCTGCCTCTGCTCCTCGACCCTGCTACAGACGTCTCTCAGGGCCCTCCCTGACGCAGGCCTCGAGGGGACCGCCCCATCTCCGTGTGTATTAGTTTCCTCGGGCTGCTGTAACAAGTTAGTACAGGCTTGCTAACTGCTGCGAAAATGCATTTTTATTCTCCCTCAGGTCTTGAGGCCAGAAGTCCAAAATCAAGGTGTCAGCGGGGCCACCCACTCTGGAGGCTTTAGGGGAAAACCTGTTTCTTGCCTATTCCAGCTTCTGGGAGTTGCCAGCTTCCTTGGCTTGTGGCCACATCACTCCCATCTTTGCGTTGTCTTCTTATCTATGTGTCCCTTATAAGGACACTTGTCATTGGATTTAAGGCCCACGTGGATAATCCAGGATGATCTCTTCAACTCAGAATCGCCAACTTAATCACATCGGCAGAGAGCCCTTTTCCACATGAGGCCATGCTCTCGGGTTCAGGGCTTAGGACGTACATGTATCTTCCTGAGGGCACCACGCCACCCGCTGCACCACATGTGAACTTCAAGGCAGGAGCAGTGTCTTGGACCCTGGCCTGCACTGCCAGGAGAGGCTGGGGAGCTCCGGTCCACTTCCCGGGAGACACGGGCTCTGTGTGGATGTGTCACACCCTTTGGCGCGTCCTGGATTGGTCGCGGCCACTCAGGGGCCCACGCAGAGTTCAGGGCCAGGAGCAGTGGTGAAGGGCCATTTCTGAATGGCTCCATCCTGGCTGGCCATCTTCATGTCTCACGGCTGCAGCCATTCACCTTGTCTGGTTTTTCTTTGTGACTCTGCCCTTTTCTGTCTCAAATGAATTGAACAGGGTTGCCATCTGACTGAGCTGGGCCACTCAGTATCCTCTCAGGAGGGACACAAAGTCACTGGTGGTCACCCCGGAGCCTTGGGGCTGGGGTCCCGTTCAGAGGCCATGCGTTGACCTGCCAGAGATGTCGACAGAAACCTGCCCAGCTCTGCCTTCGTTCTGCTCTGGGGGGGGCCCTGAGACACCCCGATACAACACCTACTCTGCTTAACACCAGCTTCTGCAGACTTTGGCATCTTGCAACCAAGTAATTCTCACCTAAGATAGGACCTCCATGAATAAACAGATGTCACCATTCTTATTATGTAATTTGCATGCCAAGGCTGTTTATGAATAGTGCTTTTTTTCATAAATTTATTTATTTATTATTCATTTTTGGCTGCATTGGGTCTTCGCTGCTGCGTGCAGGCTTTCTCTAGTTGCAGTGAGTGGCGGCTACTCTTGGTTGTGGTGCACGGGCTTCTCATTGTGGTGGCTTCTCTTGTTGTGGAGCATGGGCTCTAGGCACGTGGGCTTCAGTAGTTGTGGCACGTGGGCTCAGTAGTTGTCGCTCATGGGCTCTAGAGCACAGGCTCAGTAGCTGTGGCTCATGGGTTCTAGAGCGCAGCCTCAGTAGTTGTGGCACATGGGCTCAGTAGTTGTCGCTCGTGGGCTCTAGAGCACAGGCTCAGTAGTTGTGGCACGTGGGCTCAGTAGTTGTGGCTCATGGGCTCTAGAGCGCAGGCTCAGTGGTTATGGCGCACGGGCTTAGGTGCTCCGTGGTATGTGGTAGCTTCCCGGACCAGGGCTCGAACCTGTGTCCCCTGCATCAGCAGGCGGATTCTTAACCACTGCGCCACCTGGGAAGTCCTACGAATAGTTCTTTAATGAGCGCAAAAACCAATGCACCCCTGGTTCCCTTGTCTTGGACCACTCATTTATCGAAAGACCTACTGTTGATGGGGGGCAGGGAGGAAGGCCAGCCACTGACCATCCCACGGACAGCAGCTGAGGAATGACCAGCATTAGAGTTAGCATCCCTCCCCCCACCCTGCTGCCCCAGGCCCTCCCGACTCACCGTCCGCAGGGCTGAGGCCCCTGGCTGCAGAGATGGCGGGGTGCGTGGGGCTGCCGTGCACAGCGCAGAGGTACTGCTCCATGTGGGAGCTCACGTACGGGTGTGGGGCGTTGAAGGGGGACTCCCCAGGGCCGGCAGGGTGTGGGGAAAGTCGGATCAATGAGATATCCGAGATGACCGGGCTGCCACTCAGGGCGGGAGGCCTGCAGAGACAAAGGGGAACATTTTAAGAAGGTGTGGCCCACCCAGGAGGATGCCCAGGGAACCCCGTTAAGGAGCAGAACCAAACGGGCGGCTGCACCTTTATTTATTTGCCAACATTCCCTGGTCACCCTCATACAGAGTCTCAAATCTCATACACTAGCCAGGAAATGCAGATGGAAAGCTCCCGGGGCTGGTGCAGCAGCCCACCCACCCGTCTCATGTTGGTGATGGAATTCTGCACACACAGAGCTGGATGTGCTGGACCACAAGCTCGGCAGGCCACACACCTCTGCGAGTTGTTGCCACTGCTTCCCCGGTGCCCGCTCAGGAGCAGACACATTAACAAGTAAGTCTCCGAAATGGACGCATGCCCGCATCCTACCAACTGGTATGAAAACAGGCCATGAAAACACTAACACCAGGGGGAAGATACAAAGAGCTCATCTTCCTAACAGAACTGAGGAAAAGAGAAATCAGGAGATGCCCTGAAAGATGGAGAATTTGGGGCTTCCGTGGGACAATCCCTGCAGTGAAGCACTCAGCCACGGGATCGGCTGTAAAAGAAAAGCTCAGGATTCAAGGAGCCTTTGGAAACGCTGAGCCGTCATGAAAATTTTGGAATACCGTTCCAGCTTTCCTTACGTGGAACTCCTTCTCATGTTCCCAGAGTATCCCTTCTCTGACGCCCACTGACCATCGGGCACGCAGCTGGCGTGGTCCCCTGGGCTAGGGCTGGTGTGGCCGCGGCCCATTTCTATGGTCAGCCCTGCTCAGCTCAACAGAAGGACAGGCCTGCTCCCCGGGGGCCTCCAAGCAGCTGTTAGCATGTTAGTTACAAGGGTATTTTGAGGTCATCTACTCCAAAACTTGCCCATATTAAAGTAAAAATCAGACTGGGGGGAGCTGCTGTGAAAGCACAACTAAGTCACTGGAACCAAATCTAAAGATTTCATTTTCGATTTTTCAGAAAATAGGGGCCTCTCTGTGACTTGACACAGTGCAAAGAATATGTGTTCAAATCAGACCAACCTGCATTAGAATCTCAGTCACTATGGAGAACAGTATGGAGGTTCCTTAAAAAACTAAAAACAGAGCTACCATATGACCCAGCGATCCCACTCCTGGGCATATATCCAGAGAAAACACTAATTTGAAAAGGTACATGCACCTCAATATTCATAGCAGCACTATTTACAACAGCCAGGACATGGAAACAACCTAAATGTCCATTGACAGATGAATGGATAAAGCAGATGTGGTACATATATAGAACGGAATATTACTCAGTCATAAAAAATAAAGAAATAATTCCATTTGCAGCAACATGGATGGCCCTAGAGATTATCATACTAAGTGAAGTAAATCAGACAAAGACAAATACCATATGATGTCACTTAAATTTGAAATCTAAAAAAATGATACGAATAAACTTATTTACAAAATAGAAATAGACTCACAGACATAGAAAACAAACTTATGGTTACCAAAGAGGAAAAGTAAGGGGAGGGATAAATTAGGAGTTTGGGATTAACAGATACACTCTACTATACATAAAATAAATAAACAACAAGGACCCAGTGTATAGCACAGGGAACTATACTCAATATCTTGTAATAAACTATAATGAAAAGAATCTAAAAAAAAAGAATATATATATATATATATATATATATATATATATATATATATATATATAACTGAGTCACTTTGCTGTACACCTGAAGCTGATAGAACATTGTAAATGAACTATATTTCAATAAAAATTTTAAAAAAGAACCTTAGCCTTCATCAGCTCAGTTACTCTGAGCAAGTAACTTAACCTCACCAAGCCTCAGTTTCCTCATCTGTAAAATGGGGATAACAACAGTGCCCATTTCCTAGGGTTGCCATGAGGATGAAATTCCCCCAAATGGTGCCTGAGACAGCCACCAGTCAATAAGTGAGAGTTGTTATTACAGCATTAGTACCACACTTTGAGGGCAAAATCCAGATGCGCCCGGGAAGCCCTCAAAACCTTGACGTCGGATGTGTGAAAAAGTGCTGTGAGAACCGGTTACTTCAGAGAGGGCATGACTTGTCCATGGGCTGGAGCACACCAGAGCTAATTACTGATTATGTGCAACAGGGCAAGAAAACTGTGCTTATGACACAGTGCGAACCAGGACCCAAACAGGTGACATCCAGATGTCTTAACATCTGGGTTACACAAGCTCCGTGCTCAGAGGCCGCTCTACAGGCCTGGGTGTATGCATTCTGCTACTTTATTTTCGAGCTTTTGCAGATGTAATTGCAACGGATGTGCTGATCCAATGGACCCGCCGGGGCACTTCCACGCTGTGGTGTTTTCAGCCATGCCAATTCTTGGCCTACCTGTACCCTATACCTCGTCAGGGCAATTCCTTCTCTTCCCTGCAAGCCTGGGTCAAGGGACCCCGGTGGTCAGTGGTGCTCTCCCTGAAACCCCTTCCCCTGACATGAGGTCTCTGCTCCCCCTGGGGGGCATGGTTCCCATCTTAGGTGGGCAGGTGTGTTTCCCAGGCAACCAGGGAGCAGGGCGTGTCCCAGGCACCGCTGCATCGAGCATCTGGCAGGCAACTGTTATCCCGCAGGTGTTCAGAGGTATCTTCAGAGCCAGTGATGGTGACACATCTGTGAACCAGGCACTGAGCCTGGCAGAAGGGAGCCTCTGCCATCAGTCACAGCCTCCAGCTATCCTCACTCACAAGCCGCCATTAGAGGCCAGGCCACCTGTGAGGAAACTGCACTGGGTGCCAGGGACCAAAGCAGTGGCTCCGCTTTGGGCCACAGAGGCCACAGGGGAGAAGAGTGAGTAAGCGATGCATCTCCTGTCCCGAGAGCCTTGGTCCACCACTGGGCACTCAAGGCAGGGTAGGTTTCAGGGCCCACAGGATGCTGGCCAGGTTCGAGGGCAGGGCAGCCTGGCGTTACTGAAGCTGGTGGCCCTAAGTGGCCTGGCCAGGCCTCCCTAGCAACACGTCACCCTGTGGGGTGCAAGGACCACAGCTAAGGCCCCACAAGGCAAGCCAGTGATTATGTGCGGATTTAAAGGAACACATGGAGGGTACACGGTGGCCCTGGTCTGTCCAAGGCGACTCCCATCCCACCGGCCAAACAGGAGGCTGGAGGGGGTCTTGTCGTGGCAACGTGCACCCCGCTGTGGGGCTGCCTGGCGGGGCCGGAATCAGTGCAGCCTCAGCAGCTGGGCCCGGAGGTGGCAGGTGGGGGCCGAGTCCCCATGCTGAGAAGCTGGGACTTTTATCTCTACACCTCTGCCACCACCCTTTGGAGGAGAGTGACCTCTGTTATCCCCTTCCCATCACATTATTCTCCAAGGAAAGGGAGAGGAGCTCGAGGTTCTTCCAGGCCACGCCCCTCCCCACAGGGATGCTGACTTCAGAACAGCAGCCCGTGATGATGGCCAGCCTGATGGCCGCTGGGAGGAGACGTGAAAACTCTGGCACCAACAATGCACCTCACCCACGAGGGCTCTGGGTCCAGAGACGGAGGTCACCCCACAAGCCGTGTGGCCAGAGACGCAGGCCGGGACTCAACCCAAGCTGCCTCACTGCCGGGACGGTGCCGCCCTCAGCCCAGGCTCTCCCTGCCCCAACAGGGAACAGTCGGGGACTCCTTGTCCCCTTGGTGTGACACAGCAGAAGCTCGGAGAGGCCACTGCCTGCCCCTAAGCAGATTCGACAGGGGATGGCCGTGAGGTGGGTTAGGTAACAACAGAGCTGATGAAAGGGTGCACAGAACAGCCCCTGCCCTTCCGGTTCCAGGCCTGGGAGTGGGGTCTGGGCCAGCAGAGCCTCCCAGGGGGGACAGAAGCAAAGGTGAGTCCTGGCAACGCAGAGCACAGCTGGGTTCTGGAGCCTGTCCAGGGGGACCCAGGTCGGCGTCCGGAAGCAGTGGGACAGGGCCAACCCCGACCCTTCCCACTTAGCTGGGTGGCCGCGGCCAGGATGCTGTTCCTCTCTGGTGCCTCTCCAGGAGGTAGACAAAGACCAGCGCTGGGCACATGGTAGGGGGGTTCACAGCACTAAGCCCCTTCCCTCCCTTTTCAGCAACAAGCCAGCTCGGGGTGCGCAGTGTCTGCTGACCTGGGCCTGCGGGACCCAAGACAACAGGCCCATTAACACAGCTACAGACGACTGTTGAGACACCTCCTCTGGGAAGCCTCCTTAGATGTCCCCTCTGCATGGCACCGCTCAGCTGTGCCCTGACCTGGCATTTCCGTAAGACTGGGTGCCAGCTGCCACGGGGTCACATGCATGTATTTCGTTTACTAATCTAAATTCAGAAATCCACAAAGTAGGCACCTTATGCCCATTTTACAGATGAGAACACTCTCAGAAAGGCTAGGTCCCTTGCCGAAGGTCACTCAGAGAGCAAGTCTCGGAACCACAACCAATCCAGGCGGGTCTGGACCCGAGCCTCTACCTGGGCCCGTCCCCTGGCAGAGAAGCGGGTGCTCTTGACGACTGCGACGTTTTGTGAGCGAGCGGGGCTCTGGCGGGTGCAGGATCAGGGAGGTGGCGGCGGCACTGGGGAAGAAAAGAACTCACCCCCCCATCCCCCGCCCCGCTCCAGCTCCCTCTATCCTCACCCCCACTCCCATCCCATCACCACGCACAATCAAGTCAGCTTTCAGGAGGGAGGCGGAGCCTCTCCCTCACACTGTGTTGTGAAGGACTGATAGGGTCCAGGGTCACAAATGTTCCAGGAGACTGTCATTTTAACAGACCAAACAAAGCCGAAGGAATGAATCTCAAATGGCAGAATTCGAAGCATTAGGAATGCATCCGAGGGACCAGGGGCCTTCCCAGCAGCCCTGAACTCACAGCAACACAGCCACCCTTCAAGGCTGGTCCTTCAGGGACCAGAGCTGCTCTTTCTTGGACGCTTGCCCCATCCCGCCTGACAGACAGTCCCCACACAGGCGGTGCTATCAGTGCTGGGGAACCAAGAACAGTGCCAT